ACTTAGATTTTTTACTTTACATTTATGTATAAGGCTTGCAACTTATCTGAACTCCTTAACTGCTCTACTATTCTCGATCTCTACAGAGTCTCGATCTGGAGCAAGCAAATCACCAAAGGGCATTCTGGGTTGAGTGAGCGGAGCGGAATCTTGAGAAAGGCGCTCTGCGCTCTTAAGGAAATATTACCGCTCCACTCACATGCTCTGCTCGGGTGTGAAGTATGAACGGGGCGAGGCGTGAGAGAAAACATCTGTTTAACAGCACATGCTCCGGTTATTAGCGATCATGTGCTGCTCGTGTCTGCCCGTCACTGTAGAACTAGATTAATAAATCAAATCAAAGCTAATATGATTGATTTTATGTGTAGTTTAAAGCAGTATTCTGCTTTTGAGATGATGGATGTCATGAATATCTGCAGCTGTCAACAACAACAATCAATACTGCTGAGAAGCACATTACATGAAAATATTGAAGAAACACACATTTACTGGCCATTTTCTAACATTATTTAATAGAGAACTTATTATGCACTTCTGTGAACATGACTGTAAAATGTGACTGATTTTCTGAACAGTAAAACAGCTTTTATTAAAGGGATAGTTCGGCCAACAATGAAAGTGTGCTGTTGGTTAACTCTGAGATGCAGCTGTTTTTCTTCGGTGGAACAGTAAAGAGGATTTTTTAGCTGAAACCGTGCTCCATTGTCAGAAATGCAAAAAGAACATATCTTGACTTATCGAACATATCCGAAAGACTGGTGCTCTTTATTAAAAACACTGAGCAAAAACATCCTGTAGCTGCTGCTAAAATAGCTGCATTCTAATTCCGACTGTGTCTCTTTGGCTTGTTTGTGCTTTAATACATTCAGTGCATCACATTTGCCAAATGAACATCCCCTGGTGTCTCTCTACAGCATAACCTTATCTGAAACCGTTTTGTTTCCAGATGTTTAAAGCTGCACCATGTAGGGTTTCTCTGCTGGAGATGAACAGATGTGAAACATGAAGCGAGTACATCATGCATCATCTTTCAGATCATGTTGTTGTCTGTGTTGAGCGTGAGCGCTGTGGTGGTGTGAGAGCTGCTGATGTGGTGCTTGTGTGTGCAGGTGGATGAGCGTCACCGGAGGAGCGTGCAGGGCTCTCCTCAGGCCGCCGTCATGCAGAAGCAGCCCCCCGCTGTGCCACCGCGCTCAGAGCCCTTCTCCAACGGCAGCAGCAGCGCGGCCGAACCCAGCCACCGGCCCGCCGACCCGCAGGTAACCAGCAGCACTGCAGCTGTGTGTGATGCAGAGTCCTGTTGGTCCTGATGTGCCGTGACTGCTGTGTTTGGCAGGATTTGACGGCCCTCGCTAAAGAGCTGCGTGCCGTGGAGGACGTGCGTCCGCAGCACAAAGCCACTGACTACTCCTCCTCCAGCGACGACTCCGGGACCACTGACGATGAAGACGACGAGGAGGTGGATCAGGACGTGGGAGAGGAGTCAACGTCCGGCCCGGAGGACTCCCGCGGAGGGTGGGCATCGGTTCACTGATGTGCTGGAGATGTGTGTCATTCTTGAGAATTACAATTTAAAGAACCGTGTTGTTGTTCCCAGTCCATATGCTGTTAGATTTTCTGTGAAACACAAGAAGAAAGATCCTTTACAAAGCTCATAGTGACCACAGCTGTCAGAAGCATCAATGCAGTAGTCTGTGTGCTGTATAACCAGACTTCTGAGCTTTATGGGCGAATTATTGACTTGAGAATCTTCGCTTTCTCACGTGGCACGTCAGTACCGTTGCTGAGTGAAGAGAATGAAGAATGACATCTGAGAGCTCAGCATTTGTGTTATTAGCCCAATATTTTCAGACGCTACACTGGACACATTCAAGATGAAGGGTAAAGAAAAGTACAGGTAGAAAGAGATCGCAAAGACACGTGCATCATGTGTGAGTGCAGTAAGCCTTCAAAAATTCCACATGAGTTTTCAGAGTGGGTTTTGAAAGCGTGTGTAATGAGAGCATCTAGACACCAGATCATTCTCTGATTGACAGCTCGTCCAGACTCAGTAATGGTGAGATGGTAGCAGCGAAGACGATGGTTGTCCAAGACGACGACGCCTCCTCTATGCCATGCAAAGACAGCACGCTGGTCATGCGACAGGTGACACACACACACACACACTCACACTCACAC